CCTCTCCTGCCCGGCTGGTCGTGGTGTGTGAGATGGCCCCAGGCTGTGGTTTGCTCTCTTGGCTGCCAGGACTCACTGCTGGCTCCTCCTGGGCCTGCTGCCAGCCAGCACCCCCAGACCCCTTCCTGCAGGGCTGCTCGCCAGCCACTCCTCTCCTCATTTATACTTCTGTCCGGTGTTACTCTGTCCCAGGGGCAGAATCTGGCATTTTGACTTGTTAAATTTAATTTCTCTGATCATTGCCCAGTGCTCCAATCTACCTAGAACCCTCTGCAAGGCCTCCTGTCCCTCAAGACAGTCAACAGCACCTCCCAGTCTGGTATCATAATAAAATTTGCTAATGGTGCATTCAACTCCTGCATCCTGATGGTTGATTAGCATATGGAACAGCACCAGCCCTAGGACTGAGCCCTGAGGAACACTGCTGGTGAATGGTCCCCAGCCAGATTCACCACAATCCCCTGAGCCCAGTTGTTCAGTCAGTTCTTCACTTAGCGCACCGTAAACCTGCTCATCCCACAGTTGGACAACTCGTTCAGAAGGATGCTGTGAGGGACAGTATCAGAAGCCTTACTAAAATCCAGAAAAGCTACATCCACAACCTCCTCTTCATCTACTGGGCAGGTTACCTTATCATGGCTGGGTATCCAACCAGTTAAACAGGACTTCCCCTTTGTGAACCCAAGCTGACTGTGCCTGATGACTGCATTATTTCTAAATACCTTTCAAAAGCACACAGTACTATCTTCTCCATAATTTTTCTAGATGCTGAGGTTAGACTCACAGGCCTGTAGTTCCCTGGGTCTTCCCTCATACCCATCTTGTAAAGTGGAATAACATTGGCTAGCTTCCAGTCAGCAGACTCAGAGGACTGGGCAGTCCAAGGTCTATCAGTATTATTAAAGACTGGGGCAAAAAAAGCGCATTTTCTTCATCCCTACTAGTCAGGTGATCATCTTCAACCAGTATGAGCCCAAAGTTTTCTTTAGACCTCTTCTTGCTATTAACTTCAGCAGAGATCTCCCTGAACTGTGTGAAGAGAATACGTATTAGAGAACCTGTGGACAGAGTCAGGCCAGGCGAGGGTAAGGATTACAAGGTGGACACAGGACATTAAAGGAATAATTGAGCTGCCTGGGCAGCCTATCCCCACTCTTTGTGGTTGTATGAATTTCTGGGCTACACTTCCTTTTCAGTTTCAGCTCCACATGAGTCTTTTTAGAGGTCATTATCAACAAAAGTTCTCAAAAACATAATTTTAAATTCATGTTGAACATGGGCACAGACCCTTCAAATGCTGTATCTCCTGCCAGATTGATCAAGTCGCTCAGAAATGGCAGCACATAACTTGCACAGATTATTTGTGTAATTTCCACAGATACAACAGGGTTTGTAAATGTGCTTTCCCCAGTACTTTACTTATGAATACAATAACTGTTCAATTATTTGTACAGCGTAGCACAGTTGGCGTTACTCTTCCCTCAGTCCTACCAACTGCAGAAATGCGGATGCCTGGACAATCCATGCCTGAGACATGCAGCCGCAAGCGTTTCCAAAAATAAAAGCCATTTTTCATTACATTTTTGGGACAAGTTGAATACACCATGCCAACTAGCAAGTCCTACTTCAAAGAAATCCACTTTCTCCTTAGGAGAATACAGATACAAGAAAGTCAGGAGGTCAAAGCAGAAGACAGCTGCTTCTGTAGATGTAAGAATTACTCTTCTAATAGAAAGTGTCTTACAAAATTAATATTTGTGTCATGGCTCTATTATATAGTATATGCTTGGGCATGAGAAATCTCCATTTGTATCTCAAAAAGCAATGTACATTTGACACAATCTAAAGCTGACAACCTGCCTTAAAGGCCAAGAGACTACCTCTGAGGATGAGGCACACTGAGGAAGAAGCAGACTGAGTGGCCAACACTCAAGTTTCAGTTCCTAAATAAATGATTAACAGACAGGAGTGCCAAGCATCTACCAACTCACGCAAACCCACACGTTTTGAGCAAGCAGTGCATGCATCAATTTCAGACAAACAGGCAAACAGAGTGCTGGCTGGTGGAAAGCGAGCTATCCATGTTTTCAGTTAATGTGAGCCGAAGAGAGGACTGAGCCACAAAGAACTGTTTTATGAGATACACAGACAAAGGGAATGGATCAGCAATGTTAAGTTTGAAGCAATATTATTACTCATAAGCTCTCATAATTTCCTATCATAAGCAAAATATTTTCCTTAAAACAAGGAGCACAGTTAGCTCATATACAGTAGTCACTTGCTGGAATTAGGTAT